GCGCCCACGCGGAGCTCGAAGGCGCGCAGGGCCTGGTAGTCCAGCGAGCGCAGCGCGAACAGCCGGCCGCGGTCGGCGTTCGCGGACACCAGGGCGGCCGGCGCCAGCCGCGGGTCGGGGGGCGGCAGCAGCGAGCAGGTGGCCTGGGCGTTGGCGCCCGCGTCCGCGTCGGTGGCGCTGACGCTGCCGATGTGCAGGGCGGGGCGGTTGTTCTCGCGGACCAGCAGGGTGTAGACGGCCCGGGTGAAGGCGGGGGCGTTGTCGTTGACGTCGGAGACCCGCACGGTGACGTGGTGCTGGGTCTTCAGCGCGGGAGTCCCCAGGTCGGTGACGGTGATGGTGACGTTGTACTCGGCCTTCCTCTCTCGATCCAATGGCTTCTCTGTTACTAGAGTGTAGAAATTCTCCACAGATGGCTTCAGGAGGAAGGGGAGGTCGTCCTGGATAGAGCACACCGTCTTTCCATTGTCCCCTGAATCTCGGTCTCTAATCCTGAAAACAGCAACGACTATCTCGGGTGAGTTCTCTGGGATTGGGCTAGTAAGTGATGACATGAGCAGCTCCGGCCGATTATCATTTACATCTGTTACCTCAACCACCACAGTACATTTTCCAGAAAGCCCTCCGCCGTCTTTCGCCTGAATAGTTAATGCTTACGTTTGAATTGCCTCATAGTCCAAGTCGGCTTTAAGGTAGACTTTGCCAGACTCTGGATTGATTTGAAACGTTTTGAGTATTCTTTCAGTGGCATAAAAAAAGGTATAGACTATTTCCCCATTACTTCCGGTATCTAAATCTCTGGCGAACACGGCGACAACCATGGAACCAGCGGGGCTGTTTTCGGGCACCTGCACCTTGTAGAGCGGCTGCACAAATTCAGGGGCGTTGTCATTTATGGCTACGACCTGGATGCGCACCAGAGCGGTCCCGGATCTGGGCGGCGAGCCGCCATCCAAGGCCGTGAGCCTTAAACTGAGCTCAGGAGTCTCTTCACGATCCAGCACCTGATCCAGCACCAATTCGGGATACACATTCCCCTCCCCGCTGTCGCGGACGTTAATATGGAAATAGGCATTGGGGCTGATGGTGTAGTTACTCAAGCTGTTGGTTCCAACATCTGAATCCTGCGCACTTTCCAGGAGAAAGGCCGCCCCTGGAATGGCACTTTCTAATATTTTCAAGGGAATCTCTCTATCTAGAAATCCTGGAGAATGGTCGTTGATGTCTCTCACCCACAGTTCAGCGCCGAAAATCTGAAAAGGCTTTTCCAATAACAATTGGAAAGGCAGCACACAGGGCTCTTTGGGGCCGCACAATTCCTCCCGGTCCAGTTTCTCATTTAGAAGTAAATCACCAGTAAGCGGACTGAGCAGTAAAAACCGTACGTTCTGGTCTGAAACAATTCTAGATCCCCGGGCTGACAGTTCTCCCACCCCCAACCCTAGGTCATTTGCTAGGTTTGCGAGAAAGGCGCCTCTCTCGTTTTCCTCTGCCACAAAATACCTAAGCGGTTCAGCGCCAGCCCGCGACATTCCAAGAAATACACAAAGAAACAGGACTTGCCTTTTCTGCACGGCACGCTCCACTCTGGCCTCCATTTTTTGTGTGATCCGTCTTTCCAAAGGACCTCCGCTCGGCCACAAGTAGCTCTCAGGAATGGCAGCAACCGAATCCTTAGAAACGAGCTGGATAATAGCAACGCTTGTGGGGAGGGATCCTCATTTTCCACAATTCCTATTACCCCGGCTCCCTTTCCTCTACTTTTCTGGTCTGATTTCTTCTTTGCGCTGGAATCTGTTAACATCCTTTGTGCGGGTATTTTTTTTTTTTTTTTTTCTTCTTCTCTTTTTAGCCAGCAGCGCCACCTTGCGTTATGTGGATGCTATTCTCAAGAATAGAATAAAAAAGATGGCGGATGGAAGGATTCTGCAAGTGATTTATTCCCCTGTGTCTTTGTTGCTTCATTCTATCTTTTTTCCTCAAATGATCATAGAAATGCTAGTAAGTAAGCTTATATCATTTTCTCTTGTGATATTCTGAACTCGTGGAACACTAAATCTGTTGTTTTCTTCAATCTAGGAGCATGAAATTAAATTGTTTTTCCCCCAAAATTCTAGGAAAATCCTTGGAAAAACTCCTATTTTAAAAATTGATACTAAATATCAATATTTAGTGACCAAGTCTGTGATATATAAAAATGAAGCCTCCCTCAAAAAGTCAACAAATATTGGTTGAGGATCTTTTATTTATTTGGAAACTACTCAACAATAATGATGTTATGAGGAAGCATAACTGACCTTCAGTTTCTTGTGCATTAAACAATCCTTTCGCTTTCAATGTCTTTAATCCTTATCCATGATATTTTGTGGAACACTTTCTGCCTCCCCCAACTTTCACCCCTCACCTGCTTTGAGTATTATATAAAAATTATTGTTCATCTATAGTTTCAGTGGCTAAAATCTCCAATATCCGGTAAGTACTCTTAAAATTAGAATTAGAGTGAAAGTGCTTCTAGCATTTCATCGTTAACTATGGATTGATCTCAATATGAGGTAAATACTTTTTTGAATCAATAAAGCTTTATTTTCCATATTTCAAAGTAATTTTTTATCTGTTGAAGTTATACTTTAGTTTTTAATCCTTGAATTATTGATATGACATTTAATCAAAATGTAATATTGTTTTAATGCACAGATAGATTTGATGTATGAACATGGTTTTAGGATTTTTCTGGTTCATGTTCTCTATATGTGTGTGTTTTAACTTTTTGTGGTTTTGGTATTAAACTATCATATTGACATTATAGAATGGATTGAGAAGCTTTTTGTCTATTTTTATGCAATGTAGTAGTTTTTATAAGTATATTATTATCTGTTTCTACATGCTTAATTATAACTTGCTTTTTGAACTGATTGGGTTTGGTGGTTTCTCTTGTAGCAGATCTAGGAATCCCTTTTCTATGTTACCTTTGGTTATTAATCTGCTCAGGTTTTGTTTTCTTGTTAAAGTAATTTGAATTTTATTTTAAGAACTGTTCATTTTATCTAGTTTGCAAGTTTTTTTGTATTATGTTTTCATTGTATTACTTACCTTTATTTTTTATTTTTATTTTATTTTTTTGAGTTGGCATCTCAGTTGCCCAGACTGGAGTGCAGTGGCCGCTCCCGGCCACTGCAGCCTCGACCTGCTGGGCTCCAGTGATCTTTCTGCCTCATCCGGAATTACAGGCATGCGCTACCATGCCTGACTGATTTTTTAAAATTATGGTAGAGATGAGGTCTCGCCAAGTTGCCCAGGCGGGTCTCGAACCTGCAGGCTCAGGCAATTGACTCACCTCAGCCTCCTAAAGCGTGGGATTACAGGCTGAGCCACCAAGCTCGGCTATTACTTACCTTTAGTTGTGTTCCTATTTTTGTGAGTAATGTTTAATACTTTATCTTTTAATTCTTTGTTAGACTTACAAGAGTTCTATTTTAGTGACATTTTGAAATGCATTTTTTCAAAATAATATATCACCTTGATTTAAAGTTAAATAAAATGCAATGCTTTTCTACCTTTTCTCTTCACATTCTTAGTTCTCCACACCCCCTTGCCAAGAGATAGCCATTTAAAAACTCTTAGTTACCTCTTCTGCCACTAATCTATTTTCTGATGTACTCACATTATCAATTGGCTCTTTATTATGTTAGATTAAATTTTAGCCCTTTCCAACAAATTCCTATCCAGAACCCTAAAGGCCAATACCTTAAGAAATAAGATAGACAAGTGGGACCTCATCAAATTAACGAGCTTCTGCAAAGCAAAAGAAACCATCAAGAGAGCAGGGAGACAGCCCATAGAAAAAATATTTGTCAACTGTCTATCTGACAAAGGCCTAACATCTAGGATTTACAAGGAACTCAAAAGCACCGAAGGGAAAAAACAAACAGCCCCTTTAAAAAGTGGGCAAAAGACATGAATAGACACTTCTCAAAAGAAGATATACAGGCAGCCAACAGACACATGAAAATGTGCTCAGCCTCACTCATCATGAGAGAAATGCAAATCAAAGCCACATTGAGATACCACCTAACCCCTGTAAAAATGGTCATCATTAATAAAACTAACAACAACAGATGCTGGCGAGGATATGGAGAAAAAGGAACGCTTCTACACTGCTAGTGGGAATGCAGACTTGTACAACCTTTCTGGAAAACAGTCTGGAGATTTCTGAAAGAACTAGAAATTGACCTTCCATATGACCCAGCAATTCCCCTTATTGGGAATATACTCAGAGGAACTCAGATTATTCTATGAAAAAGATAACTGCACACGTATGTTTGTTGCAGCTCTATTCACAGTAGCAAAAACATGGAACCAACCATGTTGCCCACTGAAGCTGGACTGGATAAAAAAAATGTGGTACATATACACAATGGAATATTATGCAGCCATAAAGACGGACAAATATCTGGACTTTGCAGCAAATTGGATGGATTTGGATCATACTCAGTGATTTATCACAGAAACAAAGAACTGAGTTCCATATGTTCTCACTCTCAAGGTGACCTTGAACAATTATAATGCTATAAGAAAGTGATTGGTAGTAGTGGAAAACTGTCAGGGGAGAGGGGGTGGGATTGACAGTTGAGGGAAACTGCTAGGGGAGGGAGGGGCATACCTCATCACCAAGGGTACCTGCATGATCAATGTTTGTATACCTAATCCTGAATTGTACTCCACATCTTTATAATAAATTAATTAATTAAAAAAAAATTTAGCCCTTTCGTGTTTTCCTCCACTCACAATATATTGGAAGCATTTTTTTGGTGTACTAAATATATTTTCTTTTTAACTTTTTTCTCGGAGTTAATAATTGCCTTGCTTTTTCATTTACTTGATTTTCTTTATCTCTATCATTTAATCTTCCCACACTTCCAGTTGCCTCTCAGAAAACTTTTCCACATAGTCATTTTCATCCCTCCTAAGGCTTCAATATTCCTTTAGCTTGAGTGGTTTCTTTCTACACCTACCGCATCGCTATCATTCTAGAACTTCTCTTTTGTTGTCATTCTTGTAATTTTCTTTGCCTTTTATTCTGCTTGGATCTCCCACCTCTGAGATTGTATAATCCCCCCCTTTTTTCAATTTACTCTATGGTTTTACTGAATTACATCTTCCAATATGTTCGTTTGATTAAAAAGGTACAATGTTAGAGGACTGCCAAGGACATCCTCCAAAATGCCTGTCTCCTGAGTCACAGCTCTAAACTGGGCTAGCTGTCCACATGCCTGAGACTCAGTTGTCATCCTGAGATCATTCTTCATCTGGTGATTCATTTCACTTCCATTCTGTTTTGGATCTTCTCTTTCTGTTTCTTTTGTCTTTCTCTCTCTGATTTATATTCTCATTTTAAGAGATATCTTCCAGTAGTTTTCAGAGAAGAGTATATGAGTTAAATTTTTGTGACCTTAAATGTACTAAAATATCTTTATTCTACCCTCAAATTTGATTCAGAGTTTGAACATAGTTTTAGGTTGGAAATAATTTTTCTTCAGAATTTGTAAGCGTTTTGCCAGTGAGTTATCTAAACAAATGTGCTTGCTAAAAAGTCTGGAGCAAATTGTATTTTTTTAAAAAATCATTTATGTGGCCTGTACTTTCATTTCTGGTTGCAATGTCTTTTCATTATTCCAAACATTTCATTTTATTAATTTTTTTTAATTTTAAAAATGTGGGGTACTATTCAGAGTTAGGTATACAAATGTTCATCTGTTCTTTGTTTCAGTGTACTCTGTTCTTTGTTTCTGTGATAGATCACTGAGTATGATAGATTCTAAATCTATCCAAGTTGCTGCGAAGTCCATATATTTGTCCTTCTTTATGGCTGCATAGTATTCGATTGTGTATATGTACCACATTTTAAAAATCCAGTCCAGCTTCGATGGGCAGCATGTTGGTTTCATTGTGAATAGAGCTGCAAAAAACATGTGTGTGCAGGTATCTTTTTTGTAGAATGATTTGAGTTCCTCTGGGTATATTTCCAACAGAAGAATGGCTGGGTAATATGGAAGGTCAATTTCTAGTTTTTTCAGAAATCGCCACACTGTCTTCCAAAGAGGTTGCACTAGCTTGCATTCCCACCAACAGTGTATGAGTTCCTTTTTCTCCGCATCCTTGCCAGCATCTGTTGTTGTTTGTTATATTCATAATGGCCATTCTTACTGAGGTTAGGTGGTATCTCAATGTGGTTTTGATTTGCATTTCTCTGATGATGAGTGAGGCTGTGCACTTTGTCTTGTGTCTGTTGGCTGCCTTTATATCTTCTTTTGAGAAGTGTCTGTTCATGTCTTTTGCCCACTTTTTAATGGAGCTGTGTGTATCCCAAACATGTTAAGATTAAATAGTGAAGTGTTTTGACTTGGGCTTACTTTTCATCCACTGTACAGAACAATTGATGAGCCATTTCATGGAGGAAATGAATTTCCTCTGGCTGTTAGATATTTCCTTAAATTATTTCATTGATAATTCACCTTTCTATTCATTTGTTGGAATTCTTGTACTTTAGATGTTGGACTTCTGGTGTCTTTCTTTAATTTCCTTATCTTTTTCCTCTCCAACTTGCCAGTTAAAAAATATTTTTATAATATTTTCTGGGATTTTAAAAAATATTTTATTTTATTTTAGAGCTGTGGGGTTACAAGTGAGAATTTACTACATAAGAAAGTTGCATTGCAGGTGAAATTTGGGCTTCTAGCTGGCCCTCTCTCTCCCTGCTAGTGGACCTGGTACCCAGTTTGTTGCTGTGTTATTCCCTTTCTTCC